TTCCGTTCTGTGGAATATCTGTTTCCCAATATATGAGCCATCCGGGCCAAGACTGCAATTAAGGCAAACCCAGTTTTGGTTGTGAGTTATTTCAAATGATTATCCAAAAATATTAGCCCAAGAACTGAAGTAAGACCTCAGATCAGAAATGTCCATCTTAGAACATTTCTATTAAGTCACTGGGATCAGATCCCCCCATCATAGGAGTCATTTAGAGCAGGGGTTGGGAATTTTTGGCCCTCCAAAAGTTGAACTACAGCATCATCATGCCTAGCCATTGGCCATGCTTGCTAGAGCAGATGGGATTTGTAGTTCGGCAACATCTGGAGGGCCAAAGGTTCCCCACCAGTTTCAGAGCTTCCTACATGGTAGAGTATGGAGATGAAATAATCATCTCCATTGACTTTCAACCAGAGAGTATCATGGTGCACACTTGTGTATCTATAGCACCAGAAAACTTTATTTGTCTGATATTTGACATTCTCAAGAACATTTACTGCTTGGGGGAAGGACAAGTGTGCTCCAAAAGATTTTTATTTCCTTTATTTACTTTCATAGGTAAAGGTAAAGGGACCCCTGACAGTTAAGTCTAGTCGCAAATGACTCTGGGGTTGCAGCGCTCATCTCACTTTCCTGACTAAGGGAGCCAATGTTTGTCCACAGACAATTTTTCTGGGTCATGTGGCCAGCATGACTAAGTCACTTCTGGTGAAACCAGAGCAGCACACGGAAACGCGTTTACCTTCCCACCAGAACGGTACCTATTTATCTTGTACTTTGACGTGCTTTCGAACTGCTAGGTTGGCAGGAGCTGGTACTGAGCAATGGGAGCTCACCCCGTCGTGGGGATTTGAACCGCTGATCTTCCAATTGGCAAACCCTAGGCTCTGTGGTTTAACCCACAGTGCCACCCTTTACTTTCATATCCATGTGCAAATTACAGGATTACATCCCTGGATTCTTAAACCCCTGTTCATCATTTTAATGTGGCTTGTAAAGTTTTATTGCAGATCATGTTTCACCACCCACACACTTGAGTGTGAATGATAAACAAGCAGGTTCTCCTCCTCCTTACAGATGTACAAGTGACTGACAGGGCTGGAGAGCAGTTTTAGTTTTCCCCCATGCCATTGCTAGCTATATTTGATGAGCAAAATTCAGATGCAGCATATAAAGAGATGATCACAATGCTATCACCTACAGCTAGATGGGTGGTAGCAAGAAATTGACTAAGAAGGAAGAGTTTGAGAACAAACACCAAAAAACAGCATTATGCTTTAATGGAAAGAGTGATAAGGCAAAAACAAGCAAATGTGGAACGTGATTTTGTAGGACAGTGGTATGGATTTGTTCTATGGTCAACAGCTAGTAAAACTTGGATCTCAACACCAGCTTCACAATAATTTTCCTAAAAAGTCTTGACAGGCTAAGAGGAAACAGTGGTATATAAACTATCCCCTAAGTACCGTATTATTAAAATAAGAATTACGACACAAAAGGTAGTCTTGTATATCAGACAAACCCAACCAAATATGACTTGTATGTACTGATTTATTTTTTTACATAATGTTGTTATATATTACAAATAAAAAAGATTCTTTGTTGGGTTTTTTTAAAGATGTTGGTGCTGACCTTTAAAGCCCTAAACAGCTTCAGCCCTGCATACCTGAAGGAGCATCTTCATCCCCATTGTTCAGTCTGGACACTGAGGTCCTCCTCTGAGAGCCTTCTGGTGGTTCCCCACTGTGATAACTGAAGTTACAGGGAATCAGGCAGAGTGCCTTCTTGGTAGTGGCACCTTCCCTGTGGAATGACCTCCCATCAGATGTCAAGGAAATAAACAACTAATTGATTTTTCGAAGACATTTGGAAGCATCCCTTGTATAAGAAAGTTTTTACTGTTTGAGGGTTTTTAATATTTTGCTGGAAGCTGCCCAGAGTGGCTGGGGCAACCCAGTCAGATGGGTGACAAGAAGAAGAAGAAGAAGAAGAAGAAGAAGAAGAAGAAGAAGAAGAAGAAGAAGAAGAAGAAGAAGAAGAAGAAGAAGAAGTGGTGCTGTTGTTGTTTAGTCGTTTAGTCATGTCCGACTCTTCGTGACCCCATGGACCAGAGCACGCCAGTCACTCCTGTCTTCCACTGCCTCCTGCAATTTGGTCAAACTCATGTTGGTAGCTTTGAGAACACTGTCCAACCATCACTTCCTCTGTCACCCCCTTCTCCTTCTTACCCAACATCAGAGGTTTTTCCCCCAGTCTTCTCTTCTCATGAGGTGGCCAACGTACTGGAGCACTCAAAGTTGATTTCCTTCAGAATGGATAGGTTCGATCTTTTTGCAATCCATGGGACTCTCAAGAGTCTCCTCCAGCACCACAAGAAGAAGTGTACTTAGCCTTTAAGAGTAAAGTTCTTTCAAGGCAACTTCTGCAAGTAAGAAGTACTACTGCTACTGCTACTATTACTACCACTAGTACTACATTAAATAAACAGCAGTATAAAAAAGAAATATCATCATCATCATCATCATCATCATCATCATCATCAATTTATTTATTTAATTTAGGCTACCATCCAAACTCACCACCAGTACCACCACTGGGGCTTTATTGAGTGGTGGAGTGATTGCCACATCAATAGTCCCAATAAAATTGCCATTCTTGAGTTGGTGCAACAAAGGGGCCTGGTGCCTATACATGACAACTCAAGATCCAATGGAACCCAGGCCAGTTCTACCCCACCTCCAGAATGCCCATTTTGGAGCCTTCCCCTCCCTGCTGGCAGCAGGCATCCTGCCAGCAACACTCCCATCCACCAGTTTAGCCAGGAGAGCAGGGTGGAGGGCAAAGATGGGCAGATCTCTCGATTTTGGTTTCAGTTTTGCATTCTTCCAAAGATTACAGGGCAATAAAGCTTTAAACCTTTTCATTGTTGTATAGCACTTGTCCTTTTATCATCCCTGAAGAATGATCCTGTGGTTTGTCTAGAGCCTGAACAGCCCTTTGCACGTGCTTGAGGTTGATGCTTAAAAGCTGCAAAGGATTTCCATCCTGAGAAATAGTTTTTGTAACATCCTGACAGCAACACTCCCATCTGCCAGCTTAGCCAACAGGGCAGGAAAGGGCTAATCAGTCAATTTTGCTTTCTCTCAGCTTCATATTATTCCAGTCTTCAGTTCTCCACATTTTAACACCAGTTTGCATTGTTTTTAAATGCCCGGGGGGGCGGGAATCATTAATTTTAAGTGATTTTTTTTCATAATACAGTGGTACCTCGGGTTACATATGCTTCAGGTTACATAGGCTTCAGGTTACAGACTCCACTAACCCAGAAATAGTACTTCTGGTTAAGAACTTTGCTTCAGGATGAGAACAGAAATCTTGAGGTGGCAGTGGGAGGCCCCATTAGCTAAGGTGGTGCTTCAGGTTAAGAATAGTTTCAGGTTAAGAACGGACCTCTGGAACGAATTAAGTATGTAACCAGAGGTACCACTGTATACAAATGTCTATATGGAGTTTTGTCTAATATACACAGTTTTGTGGAACAATTTTCTCCAATTTTCTGCTTTTTTTCTATGCTCTTTTCACTAATAAAAACATTTGAAAGCAATATTTGTGCCCATTACTTGGCTGGGTGGGGGTGGTGAATTGTTTTGGTATATGCCACTTATTTTTAGAAGAAAAATCTAAGCAGTTTACAAGTATCGTAAAACATTAAAAATCAGGAATAATAAATACATTAAAGGATATGCAAGACCCAGAAGCTTCAAGAAATGAATTCACGAAATAATATGCATATGAAAAGAAATGTTCATTATTACAAAATCCACAGTTGAAATCACAGATTCTGTCATCTTGGCATATAATATATCAATCAATTAGTAGTTTATTACAGTCAGGGTAAAATATAGAACCCAACTGACATCATACAGGAAATGCAGTTTCCCCAGATAAAGCAATAAAATTGGTCATTTCATTTCTTACGTGCCTGATATGCTTAGTGATATATGAGCTGATATTAAATAAATGATGCATTAACAAATTTTCACCTGAATACCTTAGCAAACTAGTTAGAAGAGAGTAAATTATATGGCATGCCATACCACGATATTAGTTACAATACACGTGTCAGAGTCTCAGTGCCTCCTACATTACATGGACACAATCTATTAGAGAATGGAATTATTGAAAAACTGCCCTGAAATTTGGAAAAAATGAAATCTTTCTAGTGTAAATACTTTCCAAGCTCATATTCTTACATAAATCAAATAAGAAGCTGGACGCACCATAACTCAGCAAAATCCCATGTTCCATGGGGGAACAAGTTCTATTAGCCAAGGAATATGTATATATTTTGTCTTTCAGTATTGTATAATGGTTGACAGCTGGTCAAGCAAAATCTTCAGATTTGGACTGGGGTTGAACACAATCCAATTCTACAATCCAGGCATAGGCAAACTGAGCCCTCCAGATGTTTTGGGACTACAATTCCCATCATTCCTGACCACTGGTCCTGTTAGCTAGGGATGATGGAGGTTATAGTCCCAAAACATCTGGACGGCTGAGTTTGCCTATGCCTGCTGTAATCCTCTTGATGAAGCCACCATGGGTTTTAGATATATGGGAGATTTGTTTTTTTCTTAGTTTCCATATATTCTTCTCCTATGCTTCAAATTCTTCATCTGTTATATGCACCAAAGAAGAGTCACAAAAGACTCGGACAGTTCTGTTTAGCATAAGATTGAACTCAGAAAGCACCAACACCCAAAAGCGCTTTTGGAACAATTGACCCAGGGCAATTTCCACACGTAGGACCCCACCTATAGGGTGAAACATCAACAATGAGCAAGAAGAGTTATGAATGGTGAAAACACTCCTTGAAACTACTTGGGTGTTACTTGTAGGCCAAACATTTTTTTTAGCAATGAATTAGAACCTTATGAAAATAAAAGGCACCACCCTCTTGGTAACCATGTATAAAAACCCCAAAAAGACACAGCAGCATCACCAGATTCCTTCAGCACGGAGACACTCCACACAAGTTCCTTTTACTACAGAGCCTGGTAAGTCACGCTACAATAATTCATGCAATTATTTTGCATGAATTCTTGAAAAATATCTACTGATACTTGCAATACCTCCTGACAATCTTATATTTACTTTCTTAGAACTTGCCATTTGTTAATTATTCAGCATTCTCATGCCTTGTTACGCTGCCTTTTCTACGGGGATATACGTTCGGTATTCATTACCCCTGCTATGCAAAAATCTCCAAATGAATCTGAATTTCAATGTCTAAAATCCCTGGTAGAGGACAAGGATCCTGAGATCACATTAAGGGTAGTCAAATTCTGTGTGATTGACATAAAACGTAGGGAACAAGCTGTGCTATCACAATGATTAAGGCCTTAAATGATAATTTTAGGTTATATCTTAGTGATTAAGTTTTAATTTATATATTTTTAAATATATATATCTGTATTGTCCCTGTTATACCTAATTGCAAATTCAAATGTATCCCTATCATGTTTTATCACTTCCTTGATATTGTATGTGGGCTGGAACTGGTCTGTGACCGAAATAATAAATTCAATTATTCAGCATTATATATTTGCGATCTTTTCTGGCTAGCAGAACTGGAAGTGGAAATTAAGAAGAGAAATAGACCATAGCAGAGCCATTTTTCTCAGTTGACATGCTCTGTTCTTTGTTTCAGCTTTCTTACCCATTTCCAATTTGTACAAAGGGAAGATTAAGCCGTAGAATGTTGTTAATAAGCCCATATAATGTTTGGAATGTCTTAGGATGGTGGTCTAGGGACAGTTCTGTATTATTGGGCAGAAACTGAACACTGATTCAAGGTAGTGGAGGGGGTATAGATTTACCAATAATGATTAGAATCAAATGTCCTTGCTCTTGGTGGAAGGTTTCCAATAAGCTATATTAAAAATAATGATGTTACTGCTATTTTAATTTTTTATGCGTTGTATTCAACTAAGGGAGAGTAGACCAACTGCTATGAATGGACCTAAGGCAAGGGTAGCAAACATATTGCACTCAAAATAGTTTGGACTACACCTCTGATTGTCCCTGGCTATTGGTCATGTTGGGTGGGGATGATGAGAGTTGAACTCCACAACACCTGTAGGATACCATATTGGCATTCCCCAAACAAAATTATTCATGTCCATTGATTTCCATGGGTTTACTCTGAGTACAACTAACATTGGAAACCTGGAAGATAACTTTATTAATGGCCAGAAGCCACAATGACTGTGTTGAACCTCCACTGTCAAGGGCACTTTACCTCTAATTGCCAGTTGCTGGGAATCACAAGTGGGGTATTATACAACCTGGCTCCCATTCATCACTATATTTTTCTGCCCACCTCTGAAGTTTCATATGTTTTTAAAGGTCTGTTGAGGGACCTGAACACTGTGAAATTATATTATCATTGATCGTTGTACACTTTGTCAACCCCGCACCTGATGTTTCTCCTCAGATCCACACAACCACTTCAGCAACGATGTCTGCCGAATATAACCAATGCTTTGCCAGCTGCCCTGCCTCCACCGTCACGATTCAACCACCTCCCTTTGTCCTGACCATCCCTGGGCCAGCTCTCTACTGCCCCGACCAACCACTCTGCATTGAGCAGTACAACCCCTGTGCTCGTATGATTACCTCCAATGAAGGAGCAGCCTTTGGTGGATATGGTGCAACCTCCCGTCTGAGCGCCACAGGCATCTATTCTCAGAAAATGCAGTCCGGAGGCCTGAGCGGATGCAGTCCATGCCAGCGATTCTAAGCTCCAAAACACAGAGCACAGAACGAATATTGTGAAGACCATGGAATAAGAAATCAAAATGTTAGATCCACTGAAAATTCAAGTTGTTGAAATGTGTCTCTCGACTCTTTCAAAATAAAGTATTCACTGCATCAAAATTTCCAGTTTCCTGCTGTTGTCATATATTTCACATATATACAGTGGTACCTCGGGTTACATACGCTTCAGGTTACATACTCCGCTAACCCAGAAATAGTACCTCAGGTTAAGAACTTTGCTTCAGGATGAGAACAGAAATCATGCTCTGGCAGCACGGCAGCAGCGGGAGGCCACATTAGCTAAAGTGGTGCTTCAGGTTAAGAACGGTTTCAGGTTAAGAACGGACCTCTGGAACGAATTAAGTACTTAACCCAAGGTACCACTGTACCAAGCTTCTGTTTAAAAGTGAAACAGAAATAATCTATTTGTAGGGAACTAAATGCTAAAATACACAGTTTCTTAGAAGCCCCTAAGAGCTGATAGTGGATTGTAGAGCTGGCCCTTTCATTAGGCAGCAAAGCAATTGCCTCAGGTTGAAAGATACTCAGGGTGACAACACACCCAGCAATTCTGCCTGAGTCTCCTGAACAGGGGAAGGGCTGTAGCTCAGTGGTAGAGCATTTTCTGTGCATGAAAGTGGTTGCAGGTTTAGTCCCTGATAGTTCCAGTTAGTGCTGGGAAGGACCCCTGACTCACAGTCAGCCATTGCAGGCAATACTGAGCTACATGGTCCAATGATATCACTATATATAATAAAAATATTATCATGTCATCACGCAGCCCACATTTGAGGAGCTGCAGTACCACATCAAAATTCTGGATTTGTGTGAAGTCAGATAGCAGCCTCCGCTGGAAATGCTTGTTAATCCTGAAATTGCATGAAGTTAGAGCAGGGGATGAGAGAAAAAGTAAAGGCAAGTTGTACAACAGCAGCAGTCGTGGTATGACAGTGAGAAGGGAGTTAGACTGAGAGGGGGAAAGTGGTGGTTTAAAACACCATCAGAAGTTTGAATAAAGCAGTGATGAAGGAGCACAGAGGAAAACCATGGCTTTAAACAATAGCAGAGATAAAGCAGGGATGGAGGACCATTGCAGAACTTTACAGAATTAAACAATAGCAGAATTTTGAGTAAAGTAGCATGGAGTAATTGAGGATTCTGCAAACTTTATTTCTCTCACACATGTGTGCTAGAGATGCGGGGACAGAGGTAATGAGGAAATAAACTGTCCCCTTTCTCACACTTCAAAACTTTGTTGTTGTTTAGTCATTTAGTTGTGTCCGACTCTTCATGACCCCATGGACCAGAGCATGCCGGGCACTCCTGTCTTCCAGTGCCTCCCGCAGTTTGGTCAAACTCATGTTCGTAGCTTCGAGAACACTGTCCAACCATCTCGTCCTCTATCGTCCCCTTCTCCTTGTGCCCTCCATCTTTCCCAACATCAGGGTCTTTTCCAGGGAGTCTTCTCTTCTCATGAGGTGGCCAAAGTACTGGAGCCTCAGCTTCAGGATCTGTCCTTCCAGTGAGCACTCAGGGCTGATTACCTTAAGAATGGATAGGTTTGATCTTCTTGCAGTCCATGGGACTCTCAAGAGTCTCCTCCAGCACCATAATTCAAAAGCAAAACTTCAAAACTACTCCCTTCCAATACATAGCTAAAGAATTCACAAGCTGCATCCCAACCATGAGTTCCCCAGTGAATCTCGACCATTTCCACTCACCCCTGCTTTCACTAGCTGAGCTGGGCTTCTGTTCCTTCACAATGGCTGTCAAAGCCAACTGCTTTGTGAAGAACAGCGGTAGGAACTTCTGGAGTGAAACACATTCATAGAATTGTAGAGTTGGAAGGGACAATGAGGGTCACCCACAGCAATGTGGGGATCTCTTTGCCCAATGTGGAGCTCTACCCACAAGCCCAAGAGTTTCATGTTCTACCATCTGAGCTATCCCACTGCAGTGTTGATTTGTGTTATCTGTTCTTGCTCCCCACTCTGGTAAACCCTCTCCATCTCCTAGATTGTGCTGCTTATCACTAAAGCATTTATTACTGGGATAAATCACTGTGCTCATATTTCTTTTTCTGTAACAAGGGGACCTTTCAGAGCTCTCTATAAGACAGAATGTGGTGGCTAAATAAGCAAACAGTTTTTCTTTTCTTTTTTACTTCTCTGATTTGGTTTCTTAGAACTCCTGAGCATCATTGGGTATGAGACTGCTAGAATTCAATACAGTGGTACCTTGGTTTAAGAACAGTCCGGTTTAAGAACAATTTGGTTTACAAACTCTGCAAAACCGGAAATAGTGTCTTGGTTTGAAAATTTTACTTCGGTCTAAGAATGGAATCCGAATGGTGGAAGGTCACCGGCAGCAGGAGGCCTCTTTAGGGAAAGCGCGCCTTGGTTTATGAACGGTTTTGGTTTAAGAAGGGACTTCCAGAACGGATTAAGTTCATAAACCAAGGTACCACTGTATTCAAAGGTCCGTATAGTTAAAGCCATGGTTTTCCCAGTAGTGATGTATGGAAGTGAGAGCTGGACCATAAAGAAGGCTGATCGCCGAAGAATTGATGCTTTCGAATTATGGTGCTGGAGGAGACTCTTGAGAGTCCCATGGACTGCAAGAAGATCAAATGTATCCATTCTTCAGGAAATCAGCCCTGAGTGCTCACTGGAAGGACAGATCCTGAAGCTGAGACTCCAATACTTTGGCCACCTCATGAGAAGAGAAGACTCCCTGATGTAGGGAAAGATGGAGGGCACAAGGAGAAGGGGACGACAGAGGATGAGATGGTTGGACGGTGTTTTCAAGGCTACAAAAATGAGTCTGACCGGACTGCGGGAGGCAGTGGAAGACAGGAGTGCCTGGCGTGCTCTGGTCCATGGGGTCGGACATGACTAAACGACTAAACAACAACAATTTGGAAGTAAGTTAGCGTTCATCTCATCTGAATGTCTTTAAAAACAAAATTGCAAACTAATGTGGAGACGTGTTTGGAAGGATGAGAACCTGTCAGGCTTCCAGGAACTGGCTTCCTCCCCCATGGCTGTAGATAAGCAGAACAAAGGAAAAGGAGTCTTCTTACCAGTTAAAAACTTTAATAATCACAGCGAGAGGAAAAAACCATACATTTCCAAGTAATGGCAGTGCTCTTAATTCCCACTCCCTTCGGTCCCAATGAACCTATGTCACTTCTATGTCTTGAAATCAGAGCTTGTCCCCTATGTGCTTTCTGTTCTGCCACTTTCTGAGCCCTTCTAGACCTTGGGGAGAGCCGTGGAGGAATGCTGTCTAGAGACTGTGAACCTGTGAACCCTTTCCCTTCCAGTGTTTCTTCTCCTAGCTGTTCACCATCCAGTATATCCCAGCTTCTGCCTTCTGAACTATGTCCCTCTGCAAACCACTGTTCCAAATCCATACTGTCCTCCTGCTCCTGGGAAGATTCAGGATCTGGAGCAGGAGCAGGGAGAGGCTCCCACCATTCCTCCTCAGTCCAGCCCTCCGCAGCATGGTCCCCGAAAGAAACAGATCCGCTCATTCCTGCCCTCCAGCCAGCTCTGCTGGCTAAACCTGCAGGTGGGTATGCAGCTGGTAGGGTACTTGCTGGCTGCAGGGAGCAGAAGGCTCCAAAACAGGGCATTCTGGAGGTTTTCCATAGATTCATAGAATCATAGAATTGTCAAGTTGGACGCCCCACGAGCGTCACCTAGTCCAGCTCCTTGCAGTCCAGAAATCTTTTGCCAGTGGGGAGAGGTAATGCTGGGCTGAAGCCCAGTGGGTCTTGAGCCAGTCTCACTGGTATCACAGTGCCAGGTCTGATTGCTGTGCCAGCTCAAGGATGGCGGAGTTACTGCCCCCTTCTCAACCTCAGTGCATTTGGATGGCAGAGCGACACTTACTCCACCAATCAGTAAAGCCTAAGTGGTAGTAGTGTGGTTTAAATGGCAGGCTAAATTATCTGAGTAAAATAATCTTTTCTATCCAGCCTTGAGATAGACACTTCTTTTATGATTGTTGTTTCATTAATGTTTGAGAAATTGCAGAAATTCCTGAAATAACCACTGAAGTCTCCAGAATTAGCCCTGTTAAACAAGGTCGATTGTCATTTCAAACTTCTGACTGGTTGTCATCTTGCAGCTGCCTGGCTTGCTGTTGCACAATATCGGAAGAACGTAAAGGGCTCCATGTAAGCTAATTGTTATAAACCAGTTTGGTGAGTTGCTCTGGTGGAAAAATGAACAGTGAAACTGCATCTGGCTAAAGGAATGAAATAAAAAGATTCTTTTGAGGCAAAGGGTTGCTGCTTTATTGTTTATGCAAGCAAAGAGGCAACGACAGACATCTCCCAGAAGCATAGAAAACTTTCTGCCTGCTATAACATTGCCATCTTGGATTTTGATACTTCCTAAACTGATGTTTTTTGTTTTGTTTCATTCATTTTACCTTTCACTCTCTTTGTATCCTCTCTGATATGAGGAGGGAATAGTTCTATGCTTTTAAAATTGAGTCAACATGTTTCTCTGGAGCAGTGATGTTTGTATCTTGTATTAGTAGCAGTACTGTTTAGAAACTGCCTTTAGAGAGCTTTTGGTAGCATACACATATTTTAAATGAAAAAGCAAATGGCAGTATCAATTTTTAAAGGGGGGAAATTGCTCCCTAGGGCTATAAATTGCTTAAATTTATCTGGGTTAGAGAAACATGATCCACAATGAAACTTTAGGAGCCATGTTGAAACAATGAATAAGAGTTTAAGGATCCAGGGCTGTAAATCTTGTAATTTGAACGTGTATCTGAGAGTAAATAAATCTTAATGAACACATTTGGCACTTTCCCCAAACAGCCAAAATGCTTAAGATTTAAAAAAAGAAGAAGAAAAAGTTGAGATGAATGGAGTCTTTTGATGCCAAAAAGACACCCAAGTAAGCACCAGGTGATATTTCCTGGAAATAAGTCAATGGGTTGAACTAGTTACTTACTGTATTTGATCACCATCCTCTGCCCCATTGGAAACTCTAAGACAATGCTGGGGAATCTTTGCCTCTGCAATTGTTGCTAAACTACAACTCCCATCCGCTGTAGCAAGCACGGACAAAGGCTAGGGATGATGGGAGATGTAGTTTGGCAACACCTATCCTAATATGATCCCTTATTAGACAAAATATGATCCCATTGACTTAATAGAAATAGCAATCATATCCTGGGCTAATCTAGGAATACCTCAGCTGTGGTCTTCATTCAGACCTTTCCTCAGTATTGTTGGTATTCATCAGAAATCACTTGTGACAAAAAACTGGGGTTGCCTTAATTGCTGTTTTGTCCTAGATAGCTCATATTTTGGGAAACAGAGTTTCCAAAGAACGGATTCTGCCAATTAATGTGATGTCACATAAAACAACTCTTTTTTCCACCCATTAGAAAATACTAAATGCAGACCCTCCAAGTGTCCCTATTTTCCAGGGACAACCCCAGATTTACAGAAGCTGTCCTGGTTTCAGATTTGATCCCAGAATGTCCCGCTTTTCATTAGGACATCCCTATTTTCATCAGAGAAAAGCTGAAGGCAGTGCTATTTTTCTAGACAAAGAGGTGCTGGAACTCACCATCATCACCCTTCCTTTTCCCCTTAGAATGAAAATGGCTCCCCCCTGGGAGGTGCTGGAACAGAGCTCCAGTGAGTTCCAGCTGGAAAAAACAACCACTCTGGTTGGAGGGTATGGAGTTAAATGACCACCAAGCCAAGGAGACAAGTAACTATGCAATCTTTACAAGACATCTTAAGGCAGCCCTGTCTAGGGACGTTTTTTTTTTTAAAGGTTTAATGTTTTATTATGTTTTTATTAATGCTGAAAGCCACCCAGAGTGGCTTTGGCAACCCAGTCAGATGGCGGGGGTATTTATTATTATTATTATTATTATTATTATTATTATTAATTAGGACATCCCTATTTTCATCGGGGGGCGGTTTCCCCTTCCCATGATGTCACTTAAATCAGCCTTAAATCCAAAACCAAGAGAATTAGAATCTTGTTTTATTTTTTTAAAAAGGGGCACAGCTCAGTGGTAGATCCAATGCAGAAGGTCCAAGGTTCTATCCTTGACTGGGAATGTCCTCTCCTTGAAACCCTGGAGAGCCTCTGCCACTCAGTGTAGACAATATTAAGCTAGATGGACCAGTGGTCTGACTCAATATGAGGCAGCTCCCATGTTCCTGGTATTGCTCTTTTGTGTTGTGGTTTATTCATTTCCCCCGTGGAACACCATCTGGGATAGAAACCAGAAAGGTCAAATGACACTACCAGGAAACTGCAGGTGTTGATACAATAGGAAGTTTTATTACTATTATTGAGAAGCAGAAGCAAAGAACCTTTCCATAGTTTCAAGTGGCACCCAAATGCCAATCCAGACAAGGAGGTTACTTAAATGCAAACATTACTAATGGGAAAGCAAAGGATTGCAGCCAAAAGATTGGGAGACATATGAGAAGTCCATCAGATATCTGCAAGTGACCAAGCTACATAATTTGTTGGGGTTTTTTGTTCCTTTTTTATAAAGGAAATGGCACACAATAGTGCTTTTCAGATTGGGTGGAATCTTGGGTGAATCAGAAGCTGCAAATATTATCAGCTGGTCTGTTCTGGATAGGAGTAGGATTGGATACATGTGAACTTATGCCGATAAACTCAGAAATTCTGAACATCCCAGTTATGAATGCAATTTTCTGATTTTTTTTCCATAGTCGTCTTCGAATGTTCATTCTGTGCCTGAGTTGTGGGTCCTTAGAATCTTCGGCAAGGGCCGCAGTCACTTCTGGGTAGCGACAGCGGAGGACAAAGGCTGGGGCAGATGGCTGCACCAGCGGAGATGGGGGCAATTCCCTCGCAGCACAGAGCGGGAGCACAAGGGTTGCATTGATCGACGCAGAGAGGCTGGTCAGAACAGTGGAGAGCTGGGCCCGGAATGCATATAGTGAACGGTGGTGGCTGAATGGTGACGGTGGAGGTAGGGCATTTACTGTAGCACTGGGTCTTTCCACAAGACATATTTGCTGAATGGATCTAAAGAAAAGCATTAAAATAACATAAGAAGAGTCTGCTGAATCAGGTTAATGGTATATCTCGTCCTGCGTCCTGTTCTTCCAGCAGCCAACCAGATGCCCCTATCTGTATCCCACAAGCAGGGCCCTAGCACAACAATATCTTTTTACTTCAAATAGTCATGACTTCCATCAAAGGATCCTGGGAAATGGTGGTTTGTTATCAGGTTCTGAGAGTTGTTAGGAACCCTCTCTTTCCCATACAGTACTATAATATTATAAGTGATTTGATTTTCCTCTTTCCTAGAAATGCTGGCCGGGGAAAATGTGCCCCCTATTAACTCTAAGCACCTTAAAAGGTACACTTCACAAGTTTCCTTATTTTTCACGAGATATTATAGTGCTATAACTGTATAGTGCTGATAATTTAGGGTCAGATAATTTCATTGGAACTAATATGAATAGGGTTTAGTTGACTGAATTCTAGTACTTTGCAATGAACAGTTTGCAATGTGTTAAAAGTTATTGTCATGGGATACCATCCCCCAATGACCTGGTTATTACCGAGTTATTGCTACTCATTACATGACAGTGTAAACCCCACCCATTTGCTAAACTACCTGAACCAATATTCTTGAATTTCTGCCCTCCCTTCCACTCAACAGTACCCAGTCTCAGGTGTCCCCTGGCTCCCCGTGGGCTCCAATACCAACCAGAGGATGAGATGGTTGGACAGTGTTCTCGAAACTACTGACATGAGTTTGACCAAACTGCAGGAAGCAGTGGAAGACAGGAGTGCCTGGCATGCTCTGGTCCATGGGGTCATGACGAGTTGGACACGACTAAACGACTAAACAACAACAATCCAAGTCATAGGGGATTCCTTACAGGGACTCCCCAGAAAACTTCAGGGATTGAGCATGGATACATTAAAATCAGTACATCAAAATCTAGATCACCTTGCCCTCTAAAACAAAGTAATCCTGTTGAATCCCTGCCTGCTTTGACCTCAGCATACATCTCCACATGTCCCTCCTAGGTCCTACCACCAATTTCCATCTTGCAGTATTCCACAAAAGAACCGCCTAGAAAATCAGCATTCAATGATTTATCCCCAAAAACTGTTGGAATTCAAAGATTCTGAATATGCTAGAGTGTATCTTGGTTTAACTTACCTGATTCTTCAAAGAACAGGATTCAACTGGAGCGTCTCAGTGTTGAGGGAAGCTGATGGTGTCTCAGTGCATCTCAGGGCTTTTTATACCATTCCTTTTCAGAAGGTCCCAATTAAATGCTAGTGTCATGTCCTATAATATAATATCCATCCTGTTCCAAGGTGTGAGTTCACCATCCGTACTCATTTGTTCTGCCTGGTGTTTCATCCCATAGGTAGGATCCTCCCTCCGGAAATTGCAAGGATCCAAATGCTTGCAAACCTGACTTTGGAGAATACTGAGCTAAAACAGCCTTCCTAGCTCAACAGCCCAGTTTCATAGAATCATCCAGTTGGAAAGGACCCCAAGACTCATCTAGTCCCAAACCCTGCAATGCAGAATAAAGATACATGCCCATTCACAGTGATGGGATGTCTCCCACCACGGGTTGGCATGAGACAGGCCAGCTGGCACTGCATAGCTCTAACCTCCAACCTCATGCTCCACCGATGCATCCGCTGCCTCAACCACCTGAGCCAGACACCTCCCTCTGTTTAGGGGTAGGATCAGCTGTTCTCCCTGGTATATCAGCTTATAGTCAGCATCCTACCGCTGAAAATTGCTAGGGTCCTCTGCCTCAACCACCTGAGCAAGACATCTCACTTTGCCTAGGCATAGGACCAGCTATGAACATGCAGAAATTCACCTTATTTGGTGGAACTCCCCCATTTACACAAGTAATGGCAAAGATGATGTTGGGAAGCTATTTGCATCCCATCTCGGTTGATTAGAGTGCAGTGCTGATAGCCCCAATGCCATGGGTTTGACCCCCATACAGGCCACGTGGATATTTCTGCATTGCAGAATGTCGGACTAGAGGACCCCTGGGGTCTCCTCCAACTTTAAAATCCTATGATTCCTTGATTCTATGAAATTGGGCTGCTTTTACTCAGTAGCACCCAAAGTCACGTTTGCAAACATTTGGACCCTAGCAATTTCCGGAGGGAGGATCCCGCCTATGGGCTAAAATACCAGGTGGAACAAATGAGTATGCGGAGTGAAATCACACTTTGGGACAACCTGGATATTGTAGGATGGGACATGATGCTAACAGTTAATTAGAACCTTTTGAAAAGGAACAGTATAAAAAGGCCTGGGATACAAGGAGACACCATCATCCTGCCTCAACACTGAGACACACCAGTTGAGTCCTCCTCCTTGAAGAATCAGGTAAGTTTGGTTAAGATAAATTACAGAATGTTCAAAACCTTTGAATTCCAACAGCTTTTGGGTCGAAGTAGATATTAGTATATATACTGAGCACAGAGGAGGCAGGGGTTCAAGAGTATTATTTATTCTGCACTCTGGAATGTCTATGAACATCCCAACAATGCTATCATACCAAATTTAAATTTGATGAATCTTGAGAATGTGGTGTTTAAAAGGTGCTTAGAGTTACTAGGGGGCCCATTTCCTCCTCTCACATTTCCCTGGGAAGAGGAATTGATTGTTGAATCTTCTGCAATGTACAGTTACACCACTGTCACACCATATTAAAAATAATGACTCTTGGGAACTGTCGTATTTTGGGAGTGGTTAGAACTGTTGAGGCAGCCATTTCCCCCTCACCAGGTTCCCTGGGAAAGAGGGACTGCTTGTTAAATCACCCTGAAAACTGAAGCTCAGTGAGGGGGAGAATGGTCGCCTAAAAATTCTCACTAAATAACCATTTCCCAGGTTACTTTGGTGTTAAGTAGAAATCTGCAGCTTGAAATGTATACAACTGATGGGGCCTTAGCCATGCTCCTTAACTTGATTAGGTGTGCTCTGCATGTGACTGGCATGAGCAACTATCCATGGTAGTAGGTTTGTCTATATAAATAAAAAAAGTAGGACTAGATGGACCATTAACCTAATCCACTAACCTGATCTAATGTTATTTTAATGTGTTTCTTCAGATCCATTCAACAAAGATGTCCTGTGGAAAGAGCCAGTGCTACAGTAAATGCCCTACCTCCACCGTCACCATTCAGCCTCCACCGTTCACCATATCCATCCCGGGCCCAGCTCTCCACTGCTCCGACCAGCCCTCCTGCATCGAGCAATGCAACCCTTGCACTCCTGCTCTGTGCTGCGAGGGAATAACCCGCATGGGATGTGCCTCCATCTCCACTGCTGCAACTCCCGCTTTTGGGGGGATACAATCTATTTCAGAGAAACAGACCAGACAAGAAAGGAGGAGGAGTGGCGTTATATGTCAGGGATGTGTATACCTGTGAAGAGATCCAAGATTTAGAACCTCAAAGCCAAAGTGAGAGCATTTGGGTCAAAATTAAGGAGAGAAGAATAACAGTGACCTCATTGTGGGAGTTTACTATAGATCCCCAAGCCAAACGGAGGACATAGATGATGCCTTCCTGGAACAGATGGCCAAGCATGCAAAAGGAAGGGAGATAGTAGTAATGGGGGACTTCAATTACCCGGATATTTGTTGGATGTCAAACTCAGCCAAGAGCATAAGGTCAAACAGATTCCTCACTGGCCTTGCAGACAACTTCATTGTCCAGAAAGTGGGAGAAGCAACAAGAGGAACAGCCATTTTAGATCTGGTCCTAACCAATGTTGATGACCTGGTTAGTGGGGTAGAAGTGGAAGGATCATTAGGCGCAAGTGATCATGCTCTTCTGAAGTTTACTATACAGCGGAAAGGAGCAGCCAAGCATACTAGGACTCAATTTCTTGACTTTAAGAAAGCTGACTTCATAAAACTTAGGGAAGTGCTGGGTGAGATCCCATGGACAGTAATACTAAAAGGAAAGGGAGTTCATGATGGCTGGGAGTTTGTTAAGAGGGAGATACTAAAAGCACAACGTCAGGCAATACCAATGAGACAGAAACATGGAAGGTGCCTAAAGAAGCCAGGGTGGCTATCTAAAGAACTTTTAACTGAGTTAAGATTAAAAAAGGATGTGTACAAAAATGGAAAAGGGGGAAACCACCAAAGAGGAATTCAAACAAATAGCCAGCACGTGTAGACACAAAGTCAGAAAAGCTAAAGCACAGAATGAACTCAGGCTTGCTAGCGAGGTTAAAAGCAACAAAAAAAGGCTTTTATGGGTATGTCCGTAGCAAAAGGAAGAACAAAGAAACAGTGGGGTCACTCAGAGGAGAAGATGGTGAAATGCAAACAGGGGACACAGAAAGAGCTGAACTCCTCAATGCCTTCTTTGCCTCAGTCTTCTCCGATAAAGAAAACAATGCCCGACCTGAAGAATTTGGAGCAAATGATTCAGCAAAGGAAACACAGCCCAGAATAACTAAGGAGATAGTACAAGAATACTTGGCTAGTTTAGATGTATTCAAGTCTCCAGGGCCAGATGAACTGCATCCAAGAGTATTAAAAGAACTGGCAGATGTGATCTCAGAACCACTGGCAGTCATCTTTGAGAATTCCTGGAGAACAGGCGAAGTCCCGGCAGACTGGAGGAGGGCAAATGTTGTCCCTATTTTCAAAAAGGGGAAAAGAGAGGACCCAAATAATTACCGCCCAGTCAGTCTGACATCAATACCAGAGAAGATTCTGGAGCAGATCATTAAGCAAACAGTCTGTGAGCACCTAGAAAGGAATGCTGTGATCACCAATAGTCAGCATGGATTTCTGAAAAATAAGTCATGTCAGACTAACCTGATCTCGTTTTTGACAGAATTACAAGCCTGGTAGATGAAGGGAACGCAGTGGATGTAGCCTACCTTGATTTCAGCAAGGCATTTGACAAGGTGCCTCATGATATTCTTGTAAAGAAGCTGGTAAAATGTGGTCTTGACTATGCTACCACTCAGTGGATTTGTAACTGGCTGACTGACCGAACCCAAAGGGTGCTC